CTTCAAAGGGACACCAGCCACAGGCCTGCTGAAACAGCCAGATTTTAGTGGCTTTTCGGAAGGCCGAGAGGGTGGGAAGGGTCCGGATCTCTGCGGGCAGATCATTCCACAGGGCCAGAGCAGCTACAGAGAAGGCCTTCCCCCGAGGGGTTGCCAGCCGGCATTGACCGGTCGATGGCATCCGGAGGAGGCCCAGTCTGTAAGATCTTATCGGCCGTTGGGAGGTATGTGGGAGTAGGCGGTCTCGCAGATAACAAGGTCCTAGGCCATGTAGGGCTTTAAAGGTAATAACCAGCACCTTGAAGCGCGTCCGGAGACTGATGGGAAACCAGTGCAGCTTGCGGAGGATAGGTGTGACGTGGGTGTATCTAGGTACACCCGATATCGCTCGTGCGGCTGCATTCTGGACCACTGTAATCTCCGAACACTCTTCAGGGGCAGCCCCATGTAGAGCGCATTGCAGTAGTCAAGCCTTGAGGTGACGAGGGCATGTGTGACCATTCGAAGTGCCTCCCAGTCCACATAGGGCCGCAACTGGTGCACCAGGCGAACCTGGGCAAAAGCCCCCCTGGATACAGCCTACAGATGGTGTTCTAATGTCAGCTGCAAATCCAGGAGGACACCCAAGTTGCGGACCCTCTCTGAGGGGTGTAAGATTTCACCCCACAGGCTGAGAGATGGAATATCAGGACTATCCCTGGGAGGCATTTCTTAGAATCTGAGTAGAATCATACACTAAAAAGGAAATGGTGTGGTGCGAAATGGATATTGAAATTCTTAGTTGTATCAGCAAAAGTAGAAATGATACATCTTACATATTGTTTACATATTGTAGGCTGGACCGCAGTGTCCTTTTCTGATTACTGCGCAAAAGTATTTAAATAAATTGTATTTCAGAAAAGGGAAGAGGTTTGAAGACTTCGTATTTTATACGGAATGATTGGCAAAATTTGGGCATATTTAATATGGGATTGTAATTAATAAACAGGTAATCATAATACCCTTGAATAATTATCATATAGTACTACTTCTATTTATATTGTTGGGGTGGGGTTAATAATAAGTCTCCCAGCAATTCTGGAAATTGCTAAATTACATTAAATTAAACAGCAGGCTAAAATTTCAGCCAGAGATTTAGACTAAACTTTAGTTGTGGAGCAAATCATCAGGTGATACACTTTTTGCTGACTGTTAGCAATAGCAATAGCACTTAGACTTATATATACTGCTTGATAGTGCTTTAGTGTAAACCTGTCTAAGCTGTTTATAAAATCAGCCTATTGCACTCAACAATCTGGGTGCATTTTACTGACCTTGGAAGGATGGAAGGCTGAGTGAGTGAATAGTGAATTAGCCTGCAGCACTGCCTTCTAACCACTGCACCACCATGGCTCTTAATAAAGTATATTAATATAATAATACACTGATTTTATTACTGGTTGTTATATTGTTGGTATTTTAAGTTTTGCAAGAAAGTAAACAGAGACAAAGAAGTAAATAATACTTTAATGAGAGGATCATTATATCGAAGTTAAACGGGTGAATGATTAGCCATCAGACTTTTGTTAGCCCTGCAGCCTTGTTGAACTATTACTTTGAAATTCTTCCAAAAATAGAAAAGTACATCCATCTTGTCTGCCTATTAAAGGAGCAACCATGTTTAAATGTTTAAATAAATAGGAGTTGTTTTAAATACTTTTTTGTACATGCTACAGTCCTGCAAAATGCGACAGGTTTCTCTACTCCTAGGTTCAATAGCATCACTAGCTGTGGGATATGTGAAACTGAACTGGGATCTAACTGGAGAACTGGCACTGGGAATCTTCTCTGCCCTGGATGCTACTTCACTTTTTGTGATGCATTTTATCCAGAACATTTGGGTCTGCTATGCTAGCTACTTAGTGTTCAAAGCTTGTTATATGCTCCTTATAACCATAGCCACGTAAGTAACTTTTAATTACCAATGTTAATTTGCTACCATTTACAGTACATCTTGCTAGAGTTGAGAATGAAATATTACTGGTAACTTATTTTATGTAAGGATATATGCCATGAAAGAAATGGAGATTTTGTTCCGCTAGCAAAATGTTTTTCAACCTTGACAACTTTAATGCAGACTTCAATGACTAGAATTCCCCAGCCAGCATACTGCACTAAGTAAGGAAAAGTTTCATGACATCTTGTTCAGAAGACCCTGTAAATGATATCTAAGAGGACTGAATTTATTTATTAGATTTTATTATTATTTTAAATAAAGTTAAATAATAATAAAGTCAGGGGCAGCCAGATAAAGGTAAAGGTTACCCTTGCACATATGTGCTAGTTGTTCCCGACTCTAGGGGACGGTCCTCATCTCCATTTCAAAGCTGAAGAGCCAGCGTTGTCCAAAGACGTCTCCATGGTCATGTGGCCGGGATGACTAAATGGCAAAGATGCACGGAACGCTGTTACCTTCCCACCAAAGGTGGTTCCTATTTTTCTACTTGCATTTTTAAATGCTTTCGAACTGCTAGGTTGGCAGAAGCTGGAACAAGTCACGGGAGTTCACTCTGTTATGTGGCACTAGGGATTCGAACCGCCAACCTTTCGATCAACAAGCTCAGCATCTTAGCCACTGACCCACCGGTGTCATAGAATATTCT